TGTTTTCCTGTTTTTTTCTCTCCTCATCGGTCTCGGCGATTGCGTTAACTTTGGCAGCCAATTTGGCTAGACTCGACTTACTTTCAAGGTCACACAGAAAAAACTAGTAGATGATACATACATGCATGATCCAGACATGAATGTATGCCTCTTCTCGTCGGAACCCATGGTGTTGGCGTTAGAGAATTAATTTAAAGATTTTTGTTTAGGACACGGCTCTCAGATGTCAAAACTATACGACATACGTGACCAGCCTGTACTTGCGTCAATGTAGAAACGCCATTCAGACAATTCCTCACAAAGGACAAGCTAAGCATCAAGAGCGTGTGGCAAATAACAAGAAAATGGTCACAGCGTAACATCAAGAGCATGTGGTAAAGAAGAAAAACTGTCACAGCATAGCATCAAAAGAGCGCGTGGCAAGTAACAACGGAATGGTCACAGCATAGCATCAACCCCTTCCCACCTCCCCACCCCACCCCGTTCTCCAAGAAGATAAAACTGTCCTTCGCGCACCAATTTCAAGTGACGTGCAAAACTTGTAACTGACGTGCCAAATGTTCAACTGACGTGCACAACTTTTCACTGACGTGCGCATTTTCAAACAATTTCTGACTGATGATGACTGATGTGTAAAATTTTGAACATGTTTAACGTGCACAACTTTTAACTGACGTGCACAACTTCTAGTCGACGTGCACAACTTCTACGTGACATGCGCAACTCTTGACCAACATGCATAACTTCTTACTGATGTGCAATGCGTCAGCAAAGAAAAACGGCAAAAACTGCAGGTCCGTTAACAGCACCGGTGGCAAAACCTAGGAGCAAACCTCAGCTCCCACCTTTTTAGTCAGGAAAAAGGTGGAAGCAAACCTCTAAAAATTAAATTTCGATACAAATGATCAAAATCAAGTGTCTTTTGTAAGCCATTTGCAATCGGCCCCACTTTTTTAGCAAGGATAAAGGTGGTAGCAAACCTCTAAAAAAAATATTTAGAAAATTCTTCACTGTTTCCATTTTAAATCCACCTTTTGGATCCACCTGTTCCAATTTTTCACCACCCGGTGGATCGAAAAGGATCCAAAAGCTGGATTGGAAAAGGTAAGAGCAAACAGGTGAAATTTTAGCGCCAAACAAAAAGGTGGCACCAGGGGAAAAAAAGGGAACAACCAATCAAAAAGGTGGGGGCGAGGTCAAAAACCGGCGGACATGTGGATCCAAAGGTGGAGCCAGGTGGGAGCAAACAGTAAAAAAATATATTAAAAATTAAGCCTTTTACCAACACTGGCAGAACCCAGCGCCAGCTATCGCATCCAAGAATCTTATCATAACTTATCATTGTTATCATTTGATTGCAGTTGACTTGAGACTTCCCTTTACTTACTTTATTGGCTATTTGAGTTGCAGACTGCGGGTTCCCCGCTCAGCATCTCATCTTACTATCCTCACATTAGCGTGGGAGGAGCTGAGCAGCAGCAGCAACAACTTAAAGCAGCACTTTGTGCTAAAATTGTTGTCGTTTCGGTTATAGTTATAGTATGTTATAGTTCTGATGGTTCAAAATTCCTAACAGCCAGCCTGGATGCAAATGACACGCCTGTACCATGAGCGAAAAAAATCATTATTCGATTGCTTTGCGGATGAAATTCTTCAACGCTTTGGCCTCTCCAACTGCATTGTGTGGTTTGGCTATGTTACCGCTCACCAAACGATCCCTTCAGAAGCTCGGTGTTGTTCAAAGAAAAATGCTGCGATGCATGGGGGGTTGGAAAAGCGTTGAAGGTGAAAAATGGTCTGGCACAATGAGGTCTGTGCAGCGTGTTGCTTTAGTTTTGTTTCATTTTGTTTCCGATGAAGCCAGGGTCGAAAATGAGCATTTATTTCTCGACACTCGAAATTTGTTTGCCGCACAGTTCGTGATACCGGTGCTGGCTTCTTACATTCAAGTTGACTATGCCACTGCTTCGCCTGTGGTTGCAAACGCCTGGAAACCAAGTCATGATTGGGGCCGATAATTTTCATTTCCAACCTCTCTAATAAGAATATGGAGGTCTGATGTCCACCTAAAAAGTCGGATGGTACCAGTAGTTTGGCAATTTTTGCAAGGGGTTTTCTTGCGAACGAGATCATGACCTGAACTCGCTAGGTTCGCTTGCAAATATGCAGGTGTATGTTGGTTTGTCGCCCCGCGTCGTCTATGGACCAATGTCTCTGGCTCGAACACACAAAAGGTGAAAAAACTGAAAATAAGGCCAGGGCCGGAAACCTTTTTCATCCTTTTGGAAGATGGGTTAGAAAATGAAAGATGTGGTAACATTGCGGCGCTTCATTTATATAATTGCCAAAGAAAACGGAATTGAACAATTGCCTTTTTGCTCATTGAGGCCCTTACCTTGCACGCGCTCGGAATTGGAATGAGATTTCCCTGGAAAGTGGAAAGCGCGGACTTTGATCCTGCAGGGAAACAAAAAATGTTGCGGCGCGTTCCAGTGCAGCTCACGGGGCACATCTTGGCATTTGATTTTGTGGAAATCCTTGATATGCCCACCCACAAAGGCGAGTACAGCTACGTACCATTCAAAGCTGCCTCTACCAATGCGACGCGTGCACCTTAAGAGCTGTGCACATCACCTTTGCAGATTTGAAACATGTTGGCGTTCAAACTGCTCATCCATTCATTGTATTTTGCTGCATTTTGGGGCAAAATCCTTTTACATGATCTCACATTGCGCGTTGTGCATGATAGGTGCACAATTTTGGAAGCGAAACTCTTGTTCGGTTCGCATGGAATTTGCAGCGTTATTGAGCTCGAGTGTCTCATTTCGCAAGGCCTTTGCAAGATGCTGGAGCCCCTCCGGGGCGGACGTCCGGCCAAACTTTCATTGCGGGTTTAGACACGCGCTTTTGCGAAATTGTTTTATGTTTTCTGCCCTGTTCTTGCCGTCTCTCAGTTGTCACAAGCCGCGGAATAGCGCTGATCCTTCAAGCTTTTGCCACTGCCTTTAGATCCTCCAAGCTCCACTTCTGTTGCGGTTTGCAAAAGCCACGATTTTGGCATCGGAAAATGTTCACGACTAATTACTAGCACCAAATACATCTCTTTGATGTTTTGTCTGCTTTGTCTGCTCGCCACTGGGAAAGAGAACCAGAACAAACAGCCGCCTGCAAAAACTGCATACATTGTGACATTTGATGGAACTTGAATGGCATGTAAGGGTTAGAAGCGGATCTCACTGATAAATAGAGAAATAGTCAGTCATGGAATGTCATAATTAGATATGATATGATTGGATTTAGATCGGATTTAGGTTGGAGTCGATAGATAAGATAGGTATAGATAGGTGATGATAGAATCATAGAGAAACATAGAGAAGAACATGTGGATTGGTAGATAGATGTAAATAGATTGAAAGTAGATTCATAGATTGTTAGCTAGGAAGACAGATCAGTAGGTAACAGATGAGCGTGGTTGCAATGTGTGTCCTGCGCCACTCTGTAACCAGCTAGATAATCCTAGATAAATAGGCTGTTGGATAGACTTACGTCTATCATCGTCTATCTACGTGCTGGTCAGCTAATAAGTGCAACAGCTGCATCAATTCGTTCAGGCGCCAGGATTCTTGTCGTTTATGAAGTTTGGACATCAGTGGAACGAGGCGCCACAATCAAGCTCCCACAACCTTCAGCAGACCAATGACAGTTGCAATGGAGTGCAGGGCAGGGGGCGACAAGGTCGCCATGATGTGCGTTCATTCTACTTGGTTTGCATTGTTTGTTTGCAAAACGCCAAGGATGACTCATGGCAGTGACAGAGTCAATTTGGGTTCTTTCAAAGGTTGAACAGGATTGGGGTACTGGTACACGAAACCCTTCAAGCTGCAAGTCTGAAGAAGCTTTGTGTGAAAGGAAACGTAGAAAACCGGGTTTCAACAGAAAAGTACAAACTCGACAGGCTGCTCGATATGTAAAGAACTGCAATGAACAGCAAGAGTTCGATCCCAGTTGATCATTTCAGGTACGGACACCGAAAAAGCAAACTTGCGGCTCACACGGCAATGTACAGAATGCCTCCACTGTTTGTCGCATCTCCAAAAGAGCCCGCGTCTTGTGTCGCAACATCTTTGTGCAGAGACAGATTGGCCAAATGTGTTTGGTTTCTATCGCATCCCCCCACAGCAGGCTTCGCCGGTCTTACAAAACCATACAAAACCACCGTGCGATTTTGGACGATTGCATTCGCGCCATAAGCATTATGGACAACTGCGGCAACATCTATACGAATTAACGCGTGAAGAGCTTTGCGCAAGGATGGATGACCACATCCGTATGCTAAGTGATGTGGGAAAGTGTTAGTCGCATTTCGCCACATCAGCTGCATCATATGAACTCTGCGACCCGGATCTTTTTCTCAAATGCATTGGCTAAGACCATCAAGAGTCGTGCAGTGCACAGAGTGTACAGCGAATCACAGCGAATTTCCCTCAAGTGGACTGATTTAAAATGCATCTGGCTCATATGCCGAATTTCTAAAAGCACAGCCTACCTCCCCTGCCTTCTCTGACCAAGCTTCTGACCAAGCTTCTGATCAAGCTTCTCGGGTAAACAACTATGACTTGATCACATCATCAAATGACTCAAGCTGGTCTCTTATCAACATGGGAGTGATTCTGTGAAACTTGGGTGGCTGAACATACGGATCTCCCAAAAACTTCAGCCCAGGAGCAAATCGTCGAGAACCAACATGCAGCTCTCACTGCTCAAAATGAATCTAAATAAATCAAAAGAATCAAGATATATCAAGATGACATCTAGATGAAATGAAATCTGGATGTTCAGTGTTCAGTGCCAACTTCCTTTGGTCAGCAGTCCTTCAGCACCTCAAACGGTGACGCTCCATGAATCATCTCCTGCAAGGCACATGTGATGGCAACTGGACCGGGTCTGACCAGGTAACGTGACCAAAATCGATGACGTTGAAAAAGAAGAGATCTGGAAACATCTGGAAGCCGCTACCTGCAGTGGCAGTGACACATTTGTTGTGCATTCATACCACTTACATCCACTTACCCACAATCACCTGTTGGTTTGAGAGATCTTGTGGATTTCCCTTGCAGCCCTCCGCGGATAGTTCTTCTTGGCTGCTCACCTTCACAAGCTCAAAGTCTGTCCATGTCCGTCCCATGTCCGTCCCAAGCTCACCTTCCCTCCTCTCAGTATTTGCCGGTCTGCGCTTTCTTTCGGGCGGCATTGAATTTTGCCTTGCAGGGTCTTGCAGCTAGATGCATGATTCATGATGCATCCAGTGCAATCATGTGCCAGAACAAGGGACATCATGGCCATCCATGAAGAAACCACTCTTGTCTTGCCTCATAAGTAGACCCACACCGTTACTTTTGCTGCTCAAACATGCACGTTCAACTCCAAATCAGAGCAAGCCTAGTTTGCCTTCTGAATCCAAGCCCTTTCAAAGTTGCCACTCTCAACACACTTTGATTTGAAATAATGACATATGATGTCATATGTTGAAGCTATATGGTCTTTCTAAAAATATGTTGTAATAGCGACTTGCATACAACTTCCATGCCTGTAGGAGGCGCCGCAGCTTGATGAGCTGTGCGAACTTGGTCTCCATGGCGCGGGTGGTGGTGAGGTACTGGGCACGCTCCTCAGCTTGCAGACTGTTGCAGAAGCGGCTTCAGCGGCTTCAGCGGCTTCAGTGGCTTGAAAATCTGGTTCACGTCCGTTTGGGGAGGTTGTCATGTCTTCAAGCACTTAGTATACTGAGTTCTGATTGTTCGGTCCCGCAAAAGAAAAACAAACAAAAACAACTTCTGACGCAAGAACTCCCGGCCTCACCCCAGTCCACAGACGGCACCGCACGATCAGCAGGCAGACCCTGTTTCTCTTTGCGGCGCTTCTCCTGCGCAGAGCCCTCAACCCTGCACAACTCGTGCAGTGACATGACTCCACTGCAAAAAAACGCAAAAACGATTCATAGAGATCAACAAGAGTGCAAGTGTTTCGTTTCAAATGGTTTCAGATGGTTTCGAATGCTTTCAGAAAGACCAATGTACTGCAAGTCCTGCTCTACCCAAGCACCACAGGCACGCATTTGCTGCCCAGGTTGGTGCACGGTGCTCACCGCTCGAGCGCTCTGTGCAGGGAGCATGGGTGAGCAGGGGCAGTTCATTTCTAATCAAAGTCTGGCGAAGTTTCACAAACGAATTGTTTATATCATGTTATATTATATTGTATTTGTTTCTGGTCTCATTGATTTTCTCACAGGGCAGCTCCAGATTCATAGTGCGAATCAATCTGATTTGCAGCTGTTGGTTCCTTATTGGTTCCTTGTGAGAACACCGTCTACCCTTGTAAGCTTGCTGCCACGACCCAGCTGCAAGCTATGAAGTATACAATACTCTGACAGTGTACCGGGAATGATTCTCAGCACTCCGTTTTTGTGCCTGCTCTGCTTCCGCCAAGACTCGCTGCACCTGCAACTGCTTTGCACTTGCACGTTGCACACATGTGTTCATGTCATGCAATGTGTGCCGATGTTTGTGTGTAGGTTTCGTCTCAGTCTCAGCATGTCTCAGCAAACAAGCCCATAAGTCGGCCAGCTTCAGCATTTTGTATTAATATTATTAATATCTACTGTTCAGATCTATTGTTCAGAGCTATTCAGATTTATGTTTTGTTTTATCATTGGATGGTCTATTAGGAAGGTTGTGTCTCCGTGCCTGCTTTCAGTTGTTGAATGTTTTGGATTAAGATGGACCAAGAATGAATGATTCAGCAAAGATGTGCAACAGTTGATCACGTTGGCTGCTGGCATGGTTTCCATTGTCCAGTGTTTTCTCTGTTTTCCCACGCCTGTGCAGAGAATGCTTGCGAGGCCTGGGAGGAGAAAAGGTGGCTACAGGTGCCTAGCCATGATGCCTTGCTCAGAGTATCACAGTGATACCGTGTGCCTGTGCAATCTCGCCCTCCAAAGCACTGCAAAGTTCCTTAAGATCGTCACTTCCCGAGACCTGTCAACAGAACTTGGCGGAACTCCGCGTTTGCAAGTACAGGCCGCTTGGTCGGATCCGAACACAATGCCCTCACAGGTGTTTAGATAAGTTTAGGCAAGGGTTCGGAACAAATCAACTCAGCACTTCGTTTGCGGCCTGGAGATCTTTGAGGCTTCTGTCAAGAGGCTGCCCTGCAGCTGGCCTGAAAGCGTGTCCAGTTGCAGGATTGTTTAATCATGTTTAATCCATGTATATACATTCGTGAAATAACGATTCAATGGTGTTCAACATGATTCAACATAACATGTGTTTTCGTGCGTGAGGATGCCATTTCATGCTTCCAACTTAATTAGACAAGCCACACCCAGTCACTGGAAGCGCAGGCGTAGCATCCGGAATGCCTTCCAGCGGCTTGACTGGTCGTATCGAATGCAAAAGTGAACAATATTGAACCATGGTGAACCAATATTGGACCCATCACCATTCGAAACCCGGATAGTTAAAGGATAACGGCCCAACCTGTGCCAGGTCTCTCTGGAAGCTGCTCGCCTGCGTCCAGCACCTGGTGTGACAAACTCCATCAAACTCCTACAGGAATATATAGGGAACATTTTTTTAACCACATGACATATAGAAGAAAAAAGTATCATATAGATACGTATTATTCTCGAAGGAAGTTGAGAAGTCAACTTCCATAAACTTCCGACAATATGGACAAAGGTGGTAAGAGAGGAGAGAAGAGAAGAGAAGAGAAGAGAAAAGATCAGAGAAGCGAAAGAATCAGAAGAAAGAAGATGCAGGTGCGCAAAAAGGTAGGAAAGTCGCGATTCACTGTGTTTTTCCAATGAGTTGTGGCTCCGGAGGGTCGAAAAGGAGGCTCGCTAAAGCGGCGGGTGCCCAGCCATGTCGCCAGATGAGAGATGAAAAGTTGCACGCAGTTGTGGCGCGAAGCACGTTTGCAAGTGAAAAAGCAAAAGACACCTCACGTTGAGATATCGAAAAAGTAAGGGATTCTGCACCCCGCCAAAAGTGGGCAAAACGTGAGGGATTTCCAAAAACGATTGCAGGCGTGGGACATTTGAAGAGGATCTGGAAAAATGCATTTCGCGTGGCAGGAGCAGTACAAGAGACATGTTCATCAGAGATGTTAGGAGGTCAGGGCACTGATTTCTTGAGAGGGGTTGCATTTTGGAGCGTCAGATCTTCAGGTTTTCTAAGATGATCTCAGATGATTTTGCGTGACAGGTGCAGCACTTCGTATGACCTGGCATCACTTTTGCGTGGCATGCGCAGCACTTTATATACACAGATGGAGTGAGAAAAATCGCAAAACACATTGGCACGCGGCCGTCAGCTCTGCACTCAACTTTCCATGTTTGAAGCAAGTCTCGCAGAATTGCTTCGTTTTTGATGTTGCCAACTTCAAACATTGAGGACGTCTCGCAGATAGATGGAAAGACAGATAGATGGATAGGTAGATAGACAGATAGATAAGTAGACAGACAACTAGAAGGATTGATAGATGCATAGAGAGAGAGAGAGAGATGAATAGACAAATAATAAGCAGGTAGACAGGCAAATGGATGGATAGATAGAAAGATGGATGGATAAATAAATAGCTCGACATTCCAACCACCTTTCGGTCCATCAGTGGATTCGCTGTGCCATCCGTGATTCACAACAACCCACCTCTCCTATAGGTTTCCTATTTTTGAAACTTCCGCCACCGCCTTGCGCGGTACTACTGGTATTTATATATATATATACACATACATTAGTGACAGCATGTGGGATTGTATCAAAACCCGTGTTATTTGAAATGTCCCCAAATCATGTTATCGTTTTTTAACTCGTATCGTTTTCTCAGGTGGTGGGCTCTATGTACTAGACATTTGAATTTTCCAGCTTTCTGCGGGTGTGAAAGCATCCTTGGTCGAAAGTCAACAAATGTCATCTTTTGTTTTCATTTCCTCTCCTGTTCCTTTCATGTTGCATTCATGTCCTTTCATGTTGCAATCATGTCCTTTCATGTTCCTTTCATGTTCCTTTCGTGTTCCTTTCATGTTCCTGTCATGTTCCTGTCATGTTCCTGTCATTTTTGCATTCATTTCCTTTCATGTTCGGTCGCTATGTATCAAACATACAGGTCTTCGAAAGGTTATATGCTCAAACCGGTCAGGTCGGTATCCGTCCAAATGCTCGCGTTGTTTTCTTACTTTGTTATCCTTTTTGTTATCGTTTTGCTATCGTTTTGGAGGCCTGTGCAGGTTACCATCTTCAGGGTTCATGAACATTTACATGTATAAGCTCGTTATCGTTTGATTTTTACTCTGATCGTTTTCTGGGCCGGTGATGCATTGGTAGTGCTATGTAAAGGACAGGCCAAGCTAAAATGAAAGGCCTGGGGTTTTTATATATATATACTGTCCCATATGACATCTGTAAGCACATTGCTTGGATGAAAGCAAGTTGAGTAAACCTTGGGCCCTGGCAGTTTGCGCCACCAGGGGTGGGAGAAGGAGATCTCAAGCGCAAACGCGTAAAAGGTGTTGGGTCGTAGAACAAGGTCTGGAGCGCCTCAAATGTTCAAACGCAAAATGATGGATCACACAATACAGATTGATATCTATATAACTATAAACATACATAGAGATGTCAATTTGGCAAAGTGGATGAATCTGCCATGCCTGAATATCATGTCAGCAACAACTGGAAATTGAAGCATTTCTTAGCTTGGATTGGCACAGAGAGCAAGTCAACCATGAACTGAAGCAGTGCTGTTCGCTCCTGCAAGCACCTGGGTGACAGTTTATTGACAATGTTCAAATTTCCATTCACGCGTGCATCGCTTCCATGAGCACATCATTTTGAATGGGCCTAGCTGCTGCATTCCCAGCGGCCCTAAAGATGCATGACACAATATTCCTATACTCAACTAGCTGGCTAGCTTCCAAGACAAGAGTCCAAAAGTCCAAGAGCGTATACAGTAATAATATGTAATCATATGTAATTATAGCGTAGCTTTCATTCGTTTCATCGCCTGGAAAAACACAGCACCCAGCCCTCCATAGATGTTGCAGCATGCAGTAGCGGCACGAGAACAATGCTGTCTCCATGTCTGAAGACTGCGTGCCCCGGTCCTGACAGTCTTGAGACAAAGATAGAGAAAGCAAATGAAAGCGAGAAAGTAGATTCTCAGAAATAATAGTAAAATATAATGAAATTGTGCAAAATTGATCAAAATTATATAAAATTATCACAGCATGACGAAGGGCGGCGCTTCAAACTCATCAATCAATATGGACAGAGCCTTACAAATGTACAAGCAGTATAAAGATGTATGCAGATTATAAAATTATATTCGTTATAAATAAAGATCCAGGAGGACAGATCCGATCCGTGTCCTGGAGTTCACGCTCAGCAAGGCCATTCGCTTCCTGTTCTCTTGCCAGGTGGGCAGATTCTGGATGGCAAAAGTGTGGAAATTCTGTGGAAATGTGCATGTCTGATGCGCATCAGCTCGGAAGATGTTTATTGCAGTTGGAATTGTCCTGAAGAGCTTCTATTTGCTCTCGCTGTTCTGATATGATGCGTTCGAAGCCTCAAGTCGTCCAGTCTCGAATCCACTTTAGTCAGATCCTTTTTTGCATTCTTTGTTTGACTGGCAAAGTTCATCAAGCTTCAGGCATTGAAACTCAAACTCTTCAAACTCTTTACTTTGCTCGGTTTCCGGCGCTGGCGCTTTTCCTCAGAGTTTCCCCTGGTCTGGTTCACCTCACAAGCGCCACAGAAGGCATTGTCATCAATGCCATGTTGATTTACAGCTGTATTTGAGACAGAGGGACGCAATCTGCCAGCAAGTCTCCATATGTTTCCATAATGTTTCCATATGTCTCATAGAATTTGGAGGATTTGGGGAGATGCGATAAAAACGATAAAGAACATGGTATGCAGTCCAGCTCGAGCTTCTGCAGCACACGAGGCCATCAGTTGTCAGTTAGAAGAACGATGAACGTAATGAAGAACGTCTGAGATGGTCCAAGATGGTTTGAGAATGTTTGAGATCTGCATCTGGACGGTCTGGACGGTCTGGACGGGTCGTTTCAGGCGCACCTCAGTGCGCAAGGCCACCAGTTGGTCCCTTGCCTCACGATTCTCACGCCGTAGGCGTTGCACCTCTGTCAGTTCTCGCCTTGGTAGCATGGCTTAACCGAGGCTCAGCCTGTTGCATTTTCACCATCCATCGAATCAAATGATTTTCAAATGATTCCAACCATGGAATAAATCCACCGTTATTCCACTTTTAATCATGTCAATCGACCATCCCCTTGCGTGCGGACTGTCTTTCTTCGAGAAGGGCGCAGTGCCCCGCCTCAAAAACTTGGACAAACTCCAAGCCGATGCCAACATGTTCGCCGATCTCCGCGCCTCAGATCTCTCCACCAACATGGTCAGCCTCAAGACCTGCCATCTGATCCAAACGGCGCGGTGAAAATAAGGAATTCTGAAGTACTCCATAATATAAACAAATTATAAACAAGTAGCATAATAGTCATAATAGTTTGTAACAACATACGAACATAAAATAATATAAACTCTAAATCAAAATAAATCGATGATAACGATTGATAACAAGGAACATGTCGGATGCTCAGACGGGCCCAGGTCCTGCCTCGGCCTCTTGCTCTGCAGCTTTCCTCTGTGCTTCATCACGCTCACGCTGAAGGGCTTCAATGTGGTCCTGCACAGATTGCTTTCTTCGGAATCTCTGTTTCAAACCTGTTTCAGTCTGCGAATCCGAAAGGCTGTCTTGGTCTCACAGGGCAATGGTCAAGCGAATGAGTTTGCATGTGCGCTTTGCAATCGATGCACTTTTTTATCTGGTAGCGCGGCGTGACCCTCACTACGAGCTTTGTAAGTGAGACTGTTCGAGCTGGGTGATAGGCAATTGGGCTATGGGGCAACGGCCACGGCGTCGAAATCTCTACCGTGCTGAGTCTTTGAAACTTGAATCAAAGTAAGCAAGGAAAGTGATCTAAGAAAATATACTAAGAATAGTAATATATATATTATAATATAATTATAATATTATATATAATTATAATATAATTATATATAACAATATAATCAAAATAGATCTGTAGACTCAGCTGTATACTCAAAATATCTCAAAATTTTGTGTGTTCATCCTCTTGTACACATCTTTCCAGTCTTCCCCAGCTTTCTTTCGGTGGAATTTGCCAGCTGTGCAGCTCTGTTCTCGGCATCCAGCTGCCTCTGTGCACCTCAGAAGCCTTGACTCTAGGCCAGGAAGATCTTGGAGAAGAGGGTCACCGGATTCATCGTAAACTCACCCGAATACCACAAGCCGAAGGCAAACACACCCGGCACCAAACTGTAGTGAAAGACTGCATGGCCCCAGGCATCCCATGCCTGTGCTGCACGTTTCATGGCAATTGCTGTTCGGACTTCCATCTTCTTCCGGGCCTCAGGGTTGATTGATGACAAAACATTTCCCATGGTTGAAAATGTTCAGATAAGTGCGCCCGCACGCCGCGCACAGGGAATATTTGAGCCACAACTCCGGAGGGAGAAAAGCTTTGCTTGTCACTTGTCAATGTTTGTCACTTCTGACTTGTCATCGCTGTAGCAACAGATTCAACAAGCACATGAAAGGTTCGCAGGATCCGTGAACACGACTGCCATTTCACTAGCATATCGCACGACAGCAATGCTGCCTGAGATCTTTCGAGTGCCAACCCCAAGGCATTGTCACGCGACTGGCTCTGCCTGCCACAGAGTTTGATGCCAGCACAACAGCAGCACAAAAGGCAGCACTGACTGCTGGCTACTGTAGCAGTCAGTAGCCCCCAAGGCAGGACCATGGAACCCTGCCTGGGTGAAGGTGGAGCAAAGCCAGTTCCGCATGCTCTGGGTTCCTGCCCAACCCGACTACCCAACAGGCCCAACAAGCCCAACAGGCTAATGGGGGAGCAGAATAAACAGTGGCGTTGTCCACACCAGTAGCAAGTCTTGCACAGCAGACTCAGGTGCCGCCTCTCAAAGGGGTTGATGACCTTTGGGGGGTACCCTTAGATTTCATTCGATTTCCATGATAAAAGTCTTACCAGATCTGACGAGAAGTTTGACCACTTGTTGCACTTGTCATACTTGTCAGACTCACTATGAGTGACTGGGATTGGACTTGATTCTGACGTTCGTGTTCTCCCTCTAAGTGGAGAACTTCTGCGATGCTGCTCTGCCACATTGGTTCCCTGGCAAACCGAAACACAAAATAAGTTTCAGCTGAAAGGCTGAAAAACATTATTGAGTGTATGTTGCTTCAACCAGGACATACTTAGACCATCCAGACCTGAAGCGTAAATCTAAATCTAAGCTGCGCCTTGGGCTTGTGAAGCTCCCAACGCCTCCAGTTCCACCACCTAAGGCGTTCAAGGCATATAATCGGCATATTATCTGAGGCTTGCAGCATGGTCCCAGAATTCCTACTGGATCTATCTGATACTTGGACATACACTCGCATGATATATCAACGAATGAACAGGTAGAAAAGATGGTTCACAGCTTCAATTAGAATTCCTGGAAAACATGGCTTCCCTCTTCTTGAGGAAAGCTTCTCTCCACACAAAATGGCCGTGGACTGTGGCGGGAAAATTGTGCAATCAGTTGTATCAACGATGAACCAGGACGTTGTAAATGGCAAGTACTTAAAGTGCTGAGTTCATCGCCACGCCGTGGGGGTGATTCTGATTGCCTGCAAGGCAAGCTGGGCCTGAAACTGCATGCCAAAATGATCCAAAATGGTGTCGTACCAATATTTGCCGTGTTCAAACTGGGCACCCCAGCCGTGGAGATAGAGGTCGACCTTGCCGCCGGCCATCTGGGCGTCAGTCAGCCAAACTGAATAGACTTGACATGACTTGACCCAACAGTTTCTTATAACTTAAAACAACTTAAAACTATTTATAATTTATATATAATTTATAATTGTTTATAATTTAATATAATTTATCAATCTCCAAGGCTCGAGGCTATATTCACCGTGGCCACTTCCATGCATGCTGCGCTCAAGGCTCCAAATCTCAAAGGCCAGATACAAGATTGTTTGAAGATGTTTGAAGAACAAGAGCGCTGGCCACCAGATTCTGTCCTACCAACGTTTTGACGCGGACATCTGCGAGTCAATGGCTCAGTCTGAAAGCATGAGTCAGAAACTGAGCTCAACGTAAACTTGCGCCACAGGGTAGCGTCCAGATTCGAACACTTATGATTAAAGAGCGGTGTTGCTTTATCATGCTTAATCTGTACACCAAAATTGCCACACTAGCAACTGTACAAACATACAGGACATGGCGCTGGAAAGACCAACTATGCTGGCCTTGGCCATGGCTTAACAGTGCGAGCACTCCCAGCGAACACAAGCGAACTGACCTGCAGTGATTCGACGGGTTTGAGCGCAGCGCTTGCCACAAGGACAAGAGGGAGCTGCACCACTAGGGATGCCAGACTTCTTCAATGACAATGGCACGCCAGTCTGTGCTTCTGCAGTGGCATTCTCAACCTCCACGTTCTGCAGGGACATCAAGCTCACTGCGTTCCCATCAAGTGCATTGCCAGCTTGCGACTCCTCCGGCACTAGCATCTTCAAGCATTTGGAGCACTCCCAGCGAACACAAGCGAACTGACCTGCAGTGATTCGACGGGTTTGAGTGCAGCGCTTGCCACAAGGACAAGAGGGAGCTGCACCACTGGGGATGCCAGACTTCTTCAATGACAATGGCACGCCAGTCTGTGCTTCTGCAGTGGCATTCTCAACCTCCACGTTCTGCAGGGACATCAAGCTCATTGCGTTCCCATCAAGTGCATTGCCAGCTTGTGACTCCTCCGGCACTAGCATCTTCAAGCATTTGGAGCACTCCCAGCGAACACAAGCGAACTGACCTGCAGTGATTCGACGGGTTTGGGTGCAGCGCTTGCCACAAGGACAAGAGGGAGCTGCACCACTAGGGATGCCAGACTTCTTCAATGACAATGGCACGCCAGTCTGTGCTTCTGCAGCGGCATTCTCAACCTCCACGTTCTGCAGGGACATCAAGCTCATTGCGTTCCCATCAAGTGCATTGCCAGCTTGTGACTCCTCCGGCACTAGCATCTTCAAGCATTTGGAGCACTCCCAGCGAACACAAGCGAACTGACCTGCAGTGATTCGACGGGTTTGAGCGCAGCGCTTGCCGCAAGGACAAGAGGGAGCTGCACCACTAGGGATGCCAGACTTCTTCAATGACAATGGCACGCCAGTCTGTGCTTCTGCAGCGGCATTCTCAACCTCCACGTTCTGCAGGGACATCAAGCTCATTGCGTTCCCATCAAGTGCATTGCCAGCTTGTGACTCCTCCGGCACTAGCATCTTCAAGCATTTGGAGCACTCCCAGCGAACACAAGCGAACTGACCTGCAGTGATTCGACGGGTTTGAGCGCAGCGCTTGCCACAAGGACAAGAGGGAGCTGCACCACTAGGGATGCCAGACTTCTTCAATGACAATGGCACGCCAGTCTGTGTTTCTGCAGTGGCATTCTCAACCTCCAAGTTCTGCAGGGACATCAAGCTCATTGCGTTCCCATCAAGTGCATTGCCAGCTTGTGACTCCTCCGGCACTAGCATCTTCAAGCATTTGGAGCACTCCCAGCGAACACAAGCGAACTGACCTGCAGTGATTCGACGGGTTTGAGTGCAGCGCTTGCCACAAGGACAAGAGGGAGCTGCACCACTAGGGATGCCAGACTTCTTCAATGACAATGGCACGCCAGTCTGTGTTTCTGCAGTGGCATTCTCAACCTCCACGTTCTGCAGGGACATCAAGCTCATGCGTTCCCATCAAGTGCATTGCCAGCTTGCGACTCCTCCGGCACTAGCATCTTCAAGCATTTGGAGCACTCCCAGCGAACACAAGCGAACTGACCTGCAGTGATTCGACGGGTTTGAGTGCAGCGCTTGCCACAAGGACAAGAGGGAGCTGCACCACTGGGGATGCCAGACTTCTTCAATGACAATGGCACGCCAGTCTTTGTTTCTGCTGTGGCATTCTCAACCTCCACGTTCTGCAGGGACATCAAGCTCATTGCGTTCCCATCAAGTGCATTGCCAGCTTGCGACTCCTCCGGCACTAGCATCTTCAAGCATTTGGAGCACTCCCAGCGAACACAAGCGAACTGACCTGCAGTGATTCGACGGGTTTGGGTGCAGCGCTTGCCACAAGGACAAGAGGGAGCTGCACCACTAGGGATGCCAGACTTCTTCAATGACAATGGCACGCCAGTCTGTGTTTCTGCAGTGGCATTCTCAACCTCCACGTTCTGCAGGGACATCAAGCTCATTGCGTTCCCATCAAGTGCATTGCCAGCTTGTGACTCCTCCGGCACTAGCATCTTCAAGCATTTGGAGCACTCCCAGCGAACACAAGCGAACTGACCTGCAGTGATTCGACGGGTTTGAGTGCAGCGCTTGCCACAAGGACAAGAGGGAGCTGCACCACTAAGGATGCCAGACTTCTTCAATGACAATGGCACGCCAGTCTGTGCTTCTGCGGTGGCATTCTCAACCTCCACGTTCTGCAGGGACATCAAGCTCACTGCGTTCCCATCAAGTGCATTGCCAGCTTGCGACTCCTCCGGCACTAGCATCTTCAAGCATTTGGAGCACTCCCAGCGAACACAAGCGAACTGACCTGCAGTGATTCGACGGGTTTGAGTGCAGCGCTTGCCACAAGGACAAGAGGGAGCTGCACCACTGGGATGCCAGACTTCTTCAATGACAATGGCACGCCAGTCTTTGTTTCTGCTGTGGCATTCTCAACCTCCACGTTCTGCAGGGACATCAAGCTCATTGCGTTCCCATCAAGTGCATTGCCAGCTTGCGACTCCTCCGGCACTAGCATCTTCAAGCATTTGGAGCACTCCCAGCGAACACAAGCGAACTGACCTGCAGTGATTCGACGGGTTTGGGTGCAGCGCTTGCCACAAGGACAAGAGGGAGCTGCACCACTAGGGATGCCAGACTTCTTCAATGACAATGGCACGCCAGTCTGTGTTTCTGCAGTGGCATTCTCAACCTCCACGTTCTGCAGGGACATCAAGCTCATTGCGTTCCCATCAAGTGCATCGCCAGCTTGTGACTCCTCCGGCACTAGCATCTTCAAGCATTTGGAGCACTCCCAGCGAACACAAGCGAACTGACCTGCAGTGATTCGACGGGTTTGAGTGCAGCGCTTGCCACAAGGACAAGAGGGAGCTGCACCACTAGGGATGCCAGACTTCTTCAATGACAATGGCACGCCAGTCTGTGCTTCTGCAGTGGCATTCTCAACCTCCACGTTCTGCAGGGACATCAAGCTCACTGCGTTCCCATCAAGTGCATTGCCAGATTGCGACTCCTCCGGCACTAGCATCTTCAAGCATTTGGAGCACTCCCAGCGAACACAAGCGAACTGACCTGCAGTGATTCGACGGGTTTGAGTGCAGCGCTTGCCACAAGGACAAGAGGGAGCTGCACCACTAGGGATGCCAGACTTCTTCAATGACAATGGCACGCCAGTCTGTGTTTCTGCAGTAGCACTTTTAACCACCGCACCTTGAATGGCAGAATCTTGCTCAGTGGTGATTGTCTTCAAAACAGATCCACGGAGATGGCCTGCAGAAGTGGGGACGGACTTTTCGTTCACATTTGTTGCGTCTTGTGCTCCGTGCATGGTTGTATCTTGCGGGAGATCGGCAAAGCACACACCCAGCAAAAGCAGCATGACGTTCTTGCGAAGAGCCATGGTCATTGTGACAAGCTCTGAACCGCGGAATTGGAAGCAAGGAAAGGGCTTTTGTCGCTTGGGCACTCTGCAAAAATGGAAAGATCATGGGACATACAGGAAACAATGAGTTGTCGTTGTACAGTCTGACAGTTATGAGTTATTATGACTCTTCAGATTGAATTCCAGTGTAGTTAGTTGGGTTACCAAACATATCAAACATTGCCAAAGCTTGCACGGAGTAACTAGAGGGAGCCTAGATTCATACTTCTTTCGTTGAAGCTTGGTTTTGGAAGGCTAAGAGGCAGACCTTCACGGCCTTCACCAGTCAAATTCTCGGAAGAATTGCCCAAACCTGTCCCATGCTGTTGCAATGCAGCCCTTTGAAAGCCTAAATGAAAGCATCATCGAAGAACATGGCAGAGCATTGAAGAATGGTTTGCAGGTTGCC